GCGAAAATAAATGAATCAGTGTATCTAGCCAACAACCATACTCGTCTAATTTGCGTTAGACTTCTCCCATCTATTTATATTGAAATGTAACTTGGCACTAGATGTAACTGAAGTAAAAAAATAAAGTAATCTGAGGCTCTGAGATATCTAAATAGACCTAATAGTGAAGCAAGATAAGTTGAACTAATCATAAAAGAAACTAGATGTGATGAAGTAAAGAAATTTAGGGCAGATGAAGAGAAAAATGTTGGCGAATGAGATTTTATAGAGAATAATATATATGCTTGCATATGATTGTTTAAGTGACAGAAGCGGTATTATCAAATCTATAAGCAAAATGATAGAATTTAAATTATCTACTCAGTTAATATGAAAAAATGTAGAACGCAGATTTTAGATAAAACAACGACCTTTTCTTGACTTAGGGCACTATTGACTATGCAGAGATAAGAGAGAACAGCAAAGGTGATCGAATGTATAGTTAGAGTTCGGGCTAAAATGACAGAGTCAAGTATTTTGATTGATCTAACAAAAATTTTAAAAATAATGACAGATAAAAACGACTTTATTGGGAAAAAAATTAAAAAAGATAGAATAAAAGAAATAATAATTGATCTAACCTTCAGCCAATTCCTCAATTAGATTTGCAATCCGAGAGCTGATATTACACTCAATATCACGCTGCCTGGTTATGATGCTGCAGCTGGAATGAGTGACTACTATGGCAAGTGTGCGCGAAAAAAGACGAAGAAAAAGTGACCGTTTCGAAATTTCGAGATCAACAGGAATTATCTCGCCATCAAAACTAGGTTTTGAATTTGAAGATAGGGAAGGATCCATCGAATCAAGAGCGATATTCTTTGCTAGGAGCGAAAGAAGATCAAAAAGGCAAACATGAGCAGCTAAATCAACCAAACTGAGGCTATCAGAGAGTTCGGAGTCCAAAGTTGTATTCTGATAAGGCAAATGGCTTAATAAACTCAGGAAGGTTGGCTGATCTTCACTATCAGTTCCAGTAGATAAGGCAACAGAGTGGAGTAGTTGAGCGTCGGGCTTTGAAAAGCAAAAACAAGACAAATATAAATAAAAAGTAAATCGGAACGCAAGCAACTTATGAAATAAAATATGAGAATACTTACTTCTGAAAAGCGATATGAGAACCTCAGAGGGCAATTATAAAGAAAGTCGAATACGTTGAGTCGATCGATAGATACATATGCCAGCTGAGAACCTATGGATAGAATACGCTGCCAACTAAAAGAATCGTCCTCGCATTCAAAGTTTTTACAAGGGTTAGTATCATCTGGGATTTGAGCAAATGCAGAAGCGCAAACTGCCCCTAGCAATAGCAAGGGCCCATAAAAGCGCAAAGATGCCTCAGAGAGAATCAAAATCGAATTAAGAAATAGAGTTAATCGGCTTTTCACAGCCAAATGATGGTTCGAAGTCGTCGATTCTATACCCTTTATAGACCTATAATAAAGGGGAAAAATCGGCTTAGCATAATTTAAAAAAGTACTTGTCGGAAAATAGCTCAGATGAATCCAAGTATGCGGCCCGAATAAGTATAAAGGTCTGAAGTAAGCTAAAAACGAAAAACACGTAAAATATGCAAACTAGCTCAAGGATACTTTACCAAATTTGTTGAATTGAGCTATTATGTCCGATCCAGACACATTCTAATTCTGGCTTGATACTGAAAAAGTGTTTCTAAATGGAGAAATAAAGGTATAAATAAATGTCCACCAGGAGTAAAGAAAAGCGCAAACACTTACTCTGAAGGTTTCGAAAAGCATATCAAAAATAGTTCCAGGCGGAAAAGACCTAGAATTATCAGTCTCGGCCTCCCGAACATGAAGTGATAAAAGAACTGCTTCCAAGAGCTCAATTTGCTCGCGAAGTAATTGTGAAACAACAGCCTCCAAATCATGCTCTAAATCCGCATCACACCAGGAAAACTATCTACATGAATAACTTAACGATTTACCTTTCCACAAACATTATTACTTTTAACGAAACTTTCGGTTTTATCCACTAAAATTTGGTATTGCTCAAGTAACTAATAATAACAACAATAATAATAATAATTGATTACCTTTAGTGCCAGGGAGGCGCGTGACGAAAAGTCAGTCATAGAAAAAATTGAATCAGATATATCTGACCAAGAATCGTGCCAAAAACACCCAGCTAACTTAAATAGTCGAATAAGAGACAGCCGTTCTCTCCAGTAAAAATGTCTCAGCCTGTTCGCAAATGCTTTAGAGTGGATTCCCGAGAAAAGAATCTATTTATAATTGCAAAATAAGTTATACCCTTGTAGTTTCTTCATTAAATTCACCCTTAGCAGCAAGATAATGAGTAATCAATTCGCTTGCAAAGCAAGGCGATACATCAAGGAATGCAGCCAACTTATTAACAAATGCATATACGTGCTCTTTTAAAGTATTCTTGAGTTTATTTTCTTCATGCTCACTTAAGCTTAAAATAGAGAGTGCACGAGCTTACCTAGCTTGCTGAAAGAATGATAATCCAAGGCACAAATGTGATTTAATTGTAACAAGATCAGGTGGGACAACAAACTGAAATGGAATAACATAATTAAAATATACCTCTCCTTCAGATGAAAAATAAGAAACACATTCTAGAAGAGCCCTGGAGCATGCCCTGTAGAAAAAATTAGAATCCCGAAGGCGTGAACATACATGCTTTAACGGGAGAAGAATAAGTTAACACAAGCGCAAGTAATCCACTTAAATTCACAGTTTGTTAAAAGGAAATATAGTCAACATCATTCTGGTTTGATCTCCTTTCT